ATCTCGGCCTGTTGTGTTCTCCACGACTTTGTGGAGAGCAAGGGAGAGGCCTTCCTACCATGATGAGGAGCAGAGGACAGCCGTGAGGGACAGGCCTTTCAGCAGCTGTGCAGAACTGCCATCCACCAGGCCCATCAGGTGGAGGTGCACATCCGAGAGGCCCTGAGGGAGTTTCTCTGAAGGACCCCAGTAACTTTCCCCAGTATAGGGGCCTCTGCCTTGCCCCTTTCCCACAACATCCTCGCCCTTCCCCTCTTCCCTCCACATTCAATAGAAACAACACTTTGTGTTAAAAAAAAGTTGTATTTTTTATAATAAAAGTAACTGGGAAGAGGGGGGCTGAGAACCTAGATATGGGGAGGCAGGAGGGAGGTGAGAACCTTGGAAGGGGGAGGTGAGGCTCAGAGCTGGGACTGAGAGTGGTGTGTGGTGCAGCTGGAAGTTCCACCTTGAGTCTGGGGACCTCAGGAGTGGGAGGGGTCCAGGGAGAACAGGGGGATAGGCAGGAGGGCAGCTGGAGCGGGGTCAGGAATGGCAGGGGAACAGGGACAGGAGCAGGAGCTGAGTATACCATAATCTCCCAGAGGCTGGCACACATGTGGCCCTGCAGCACCAGCTTGGTCCACATTTAGGCCTGCCATAGTCTGGGATGATAGACATTCTGGGCCAGGGTCTGCTGCATGTCCTGGAGGATGGTCGTGTGCTCCTGGTCCCTCCAGATCCCTGGGGTCAGGTGTCTGGTTCGCCTGTTGGTGATCACCCCTCAGTCATGGCTAGTCTGGCTGTGGAGGATAGAGAGAGGTACTCAGTCAACCATTCACACAGTGTCCTTGAGGCCTTCCCCTCCACTGTGAGCTTGCCCTCCTCTGTGAGCAACAGTTCTCAGGGCAGAGGATGGTGATGTTCCAGGAGCGAGGCCATGTGTGGTCTGAACAGCGGGCCTTGCCTCACAGGGACCCAGAGGTGCCCAGGGGACCATGCTTTCCGCCTCCCCCATCCAATGGATGGGCAGGCAAGAGAAGTGTCCAGCTACACTGGGATCCCATGGGCAGAAGAGGGGCCTTGAGCAGCCTGGGCTTCCATCGGGGCCGCACACACACCTGCACCTGGCAACGGTGTCTCCGGGAGCGGGTGATGCCTCGAGCATGCAGGTATGCCCATGTGCTATGTGCAGCACTCCTCAGTCTGTGTGAGGGCATGCATGTGCTCTTGCCCCTAGCCTCCTTCCAGCGGTGGCTGGTGGTGGGAAGGCTTCCCCCCCCCCGGGGTTCAGAAATGTATGTGGCCTCCCCAGAGACTGTGAGCAGGAGCCTGAGGCTGCTCTGGGGCTGCCTCCTGGGGCTGTGTGGCACGGATTGGTGCTGCATGTACATGGACTGCAGCGCGAGGGCCAAGCCAAGAAAGCCAAGCAACGATTGCACTCCAGCCTCTCAGCACCCACCACCCTCACCCTATGTGTGTGAAAAACTAAGAGCACTCACCTGATGATCCCTCCCTGGCCTTGGAGGATGCCTGGGAGACACCCAGGCCCTGGGGTACTGGCTCCAGGCTGATGGTGACAGTGCTGGCTGTCTCTTCCTCCTCCTCCAGCTGGTCATCCTCCTCCTCGTGGGCTGAGACCCCTGGGCAGGCAACGACAGGTATCTCTATCCCCGAGTCCACCACCAGGAGTGGGGAACAGGCTGCATTGCCCCTCAGGATGTGGTGGAGCTCATTGAAGCAGGGGCAAGAGTGGTGTTCTGCCCCAGAGCAAAAGCTGCATTCCTTGGCCCTGGCATATCCCTGCCAGAGCTCTTTGACCTAGCTCTGCACCTGCTACAGAGTCCTGGGGTGGTAGCCCCTTGTGGCCAGGGCCTTGGCCATCCGGCCGTAGATGTCAGCGTTCCTGTGTCTGGAGCGGATAGCCTGGAGGTTTCCTCTTCACCCCATACCTCTAGGAGGGCCAGGATCTCTGCTCCAGACCAGGATGGTGCACATCTTTTTCTGCCCTTGGCAGGCTTCTGGGAACCCTATGTATGCTCCCTGGGATGGGCAGGAGGGTCTTGGGGGACTTGAGACTGGGCCATGGGTGCCCAGAAGTGTGGAAGTGTCACCTGCACGAGGTGAGGTGCAGTTCCCAGGGCCAGCTTCCTGCCACAAGCCTTGTCCCAGGTGCCTGCAGCTTTAAGAGCTACCAGGAGACAGGAACTAAAGAGTTGGGATGAGTATGGATGAAGTGGCCAGCAGGGCACCTGCGTTATTTCCCGAAGGCCTCTTTTTTCGATAGAATGCCCTCTTCCATGTCCACACATACCTTTTCCAAAACAGCTTTTTTTGGAAAAGGCACTGTACCTTGTAGAGTGAGGTATACTGCCATGTTGTGGTTTTTGGAAAAGGCACTGTACCTTGTAGAGTGTAGGGCTCCCCCACCCCGCACTGCTCGGCCCTGGTGTCGGGCAGTACGCTCCCAGGCCCGGAGGCCTAGTTCCGCCCAACCGCAGGCCCTGAGGCCTAGTTCAAGTTCAAAGCAGGCCCTGCGTCCTAGTCCAGCACAAACGCAGGCCCTGAGGCCTAGTCCACGCTCTGGGTGGATGGGGTAGGGGGGTCCGGGCCCTCCCTCTCCACCAGGCCCCAACCTAGGGCCCTATTAGGGGTGGGTGGTTCCCACCACTGGCTCAGTGGGGAGTCCTCCCCGAAATGCACCAAGCCCACCGGGGGGCGGGGGGGTTCCCTGCCCCTTGCCCTGGGTTGCTTCCTACCCCAGCCCCATAGCTGACGGAGACCCCACCTGCAGACACTGGGCTGGCAGCGGCCGTGACGTTGGCAGGTCTGGCATCTGGGGCAGCAGCGAAGGGGTTGTCCACCGCGGCGGGGCAGGGGGGCCTCCCGGGGCGGGGCTGGGGGGCGGGTGGGGTAGGGGCAGCGGCGGCAGTCCCAGCGGCTCTTGCTCCGGTGGCAGGTCTGGCTGTGGCTCTGGAGGTTGGGCAGGAGTTCCTCCCTCCCCGGCGGCCAGCCCTAACTGAGCTGTTTCTCTGGCCTTTATACCCGGCCTGAAGTTGAAGCATGCCCAGCACTGCTGCGGGGGAGGGGCTAGCACAGCCCAGCCGGCCAGCTGGCTTCCTCGTTGGCCAGTGCGGGGCTGGACCGCCCCGTCAAATGCCATCAGAAAAAGCCCTCCATTATTTTGACTTTTTGTCAAAGTAACGCAATTGCAGTGTGTGGAGGCAAGTATTGTTTTTCCAGAGTAACGGCTGTTATTCTGTAAAAATACTGCAGTATAGACATACTCTTAGGCACCTGCCATTGGCCACTGTTGGAAGACAGGCTACTGGGCTAAATGGACCTTTGGTCTGACCCAGTATGGCCATTCTTATGTTCTCATATCTTGTTTGATAATTTCATATACTCTCCTGCATTCAGAATTACCTTAAACTTTAGTAGAGTGGGTGAAATCCTGGCTCCAATGAAGTCAGTCACATGGACTGCAAGGACATCCTGATTTTACCCTAATTCCAACATAGTGCAAACAATGGTTTATCAAAAGTATACTGCCAAAGGACTCAGATAATTTTAATATAAGGAAAAAACCCAGAGTGATTGATAACTTGCAGCTCCCCCAGGCTCTGATGCTCCCCCAGCTGCTGTTCAACACTATTTCATGATTGACTCATAATGCATACACTAAGTTTTCATTCATAATTCATGTCATGCAATTTACATAGAGTAAATGAGCTTAACAATGGTACAATTCTATCACTGTTATGATCAAATATCTTGTAATAAGTTCCCCTAGATTTCATTCTCCAGAGAGCTGAATTCCATTTCCATGTTTAAAGGGTTTTTTTTTTATTTACAGATCAATTGCATGCAAAACATTGATTTTTACATGAGAAACTTCTGTGGGGCTGTGGCTTGTGCTAAATCATAGTTGTGATGATAGTGATTTACAAGTAAAATGTGTCTGAAGCACTCAGACAAATTCCTAACTTTAACAGTGGGCACTAGATGCACGAATCACTCGGTGACTTCGTATGGCCGATGGAATGCAGGAGGTCAGATCTCATGATTATAGTGGTCCCATAGGACCTAGATTCTGTTTCAAGCCTTTAGGCTGTCTACATTGGCACCCTTTTCCGGAAAAGGGATGCTAATGAGACACTTCGGAATTGCAAATGCCGCGGGGGATTTAAATATCCCCTGCGGCATTTGCATGAACATGGCTGCCGCTTTTTTCCGGCTCGGGGTTTTGCCGGAGAAAAGCGCCAGTCTAGACGGGATCTTGTGGAAAATAAACCCTTTCCCGGAAGATCCCTTATTCCTACTTTCAAGTAGGATCAAGGGATCTTCCGGAAAAGGGTTTATTTTCCGCAAGATCCCGTCTAGACTGGCGCTTTTCTCCGGCAAAACCCCGAGCCGGAAAAAAGCGGCAGCCATGTTCATGCAAATGCCGCAGGGGATATTTAAATCCCCCGCGGCATTTGCAATTCCGAAGTGTCTCATTAGCATCCCTTTTCCGGAAAAGGGTGCCAATGTAGACAGCCTAAAGGCTTGAGGACAGAATAAACCTTATTGTCACACCCTGCCCAGTGAGAAGCCACTCACTGCCCCTGTTGGTCACGTATATTGTGAGGCTAACCCTGGAAGGTTTTGGCAAAGTGGAAGTTGCTGGGATTTCCACTGATGGACATCTTTTAACTGACCTCAGACATCCAGAGGCCAAGATGCAATTCAAGAAATGTACTTTGTAAGAACAGCTAGTGAGGAATATGGCTTATCTCTGAATGAGGGGAAATGAAATATGTATATGTTGACACACTGAACAAAAATAAATTGCAAGCAGACATCATAATTAATGGTCAAGCCCAAGAGGCAGTAGATTCATTGAATTACATATCCAGTAAACAAGGGGGTTTCTTAGAAACAGGAAGAATAGGAATGGATTTTTCAGCTATAGTCTTGCTGGGACTCTTTCTGAAACCTTTTACGCTTGGTTTATCCGGAGCCTCTCATCCCTTCAAGAGTAACACTTCATCCCATTCTTTGAGCTCCAAATTCAATTTGACACCAGCTCATCTTTCAGGTTCCTTTTATTAGTCATGAACCAGCTCTCAGCCTATGCTGGCCAGGCCCAGGATGTTTAGATACAAGGTGATAGTGTAATTCCAAATCACATCACATGCTACTAGCATCCATGCCACTTGAATTTATTTGGTTTAAACATTGTATGGCTCACGTAAGGACCAACTGCTTTGCAGACTGTGTGAGGAATTCATCACTTATGTTTTCACCTCATCTATATTTCAAGTTCATCAGTTCAGCTTATTCCCACTTATCTCAAATAGCCTGAAAACACTATCTCCAGTGCACAGTCTGTCACACTTTGTTATTTACAGGTTAACCTTGCACTCAAATCAAGCTATAGGCAATTTTATTCACTTCCTACAAGATGTATGTCTACAAATCTATTCTACAGAAATTTGGAAAAACCACATCATCTCAAAAACATATGAACGTTTCATTGGTGAAAAGCTTAATTTTGTCCATAGCAATTTTTGGATGTAAAACATAGGAAAATTGTGTTGCTATCAGGAAGAAAATTGAAGCTTTTGAGATGTGGTGCTGGCGAAGATTGTTGAGTATCTGCTGGGCAGAAAAGTCGAAGGAATGCTTATAGTAGAAATATTTGTGAAGAGAAACAGATCCTGATATCAGAAAGCAATAGGCACAAACTTACATGCTTTGTTCACATCAGATATAGAGATAGAAATAATCTCAAAGTTATAAAGGAAGGAATAGCAGCTGGACATCATAGTAGAGGACAGTCATTAAAGAGAGGGGTATATGATACACAGCAGATGACTGGGAGGTCAGCCGCAGAGCGCTCATGGCTAGGAAAGAAACACAAAGGATTCCAAAAATTCTGCTACAATGAATACATGGATTTTACTTACTTAAAGCCTGAAAATCTATAAATCATTCTACAAGAAAACTATTATTCTAGTAGGGGAGTAGGAGCCAGAGCTTTTGAGTTCTCTTTCCAGCTAAGTCTCTGACATATTGTGTGATCTTGGGTCTGCTTATGCTTGTGAAATGAGCATACTAGTTCTTGATATATCCAGAACTCCACTCTACTAAATAACAGTGCATTTGCCAGGCTGGTTAAGGATCTGTATCTTTTTTATTTCTAGTGCCTTTAATGTAAGACCAAAAATTATTATTCTGTAGCACATTCAGATTCATTACTTGACATCTCCTCTGCATTCTTCATCAATGTATTTTCAGTTGATGTGCTGTCTGCAATTCTTCACACTTCACATTTTTTCTTTCATATCTTTGCATCCCAGCCAGCTTCCCATTGAGTAAAATCAAGAAAAAATAAGAGACAAAGAAAATAATTTCAAATCACTGAAGCTGTCCATGCCACATTTGAATCCATGATAATTCTATGCCCAGAATGCCTCTCCAACAAATGAATGAAAAGAGGCAGGCCAATTTAGTACAAACCTCATGCCGAGCTGGGATATGGAAGTGTGTTTTAGCACACACAGTCCCTAATCTGGATGGCCAAGAAGTCATGTTGATTGCCTCTGCAAGGGCAAATTGCATAGCAGACTCAAAGGATGGGTCAGGTCTAATTATGGGCCTGTATTTAAGCTGGATTTCAAGTTACATTCAGTTCCGCCATAAAAGTGAACGTGGTCTGAACTTGACATGGCCAGATTTTCAAAGGTATTTAGATGCCTAAAGATACAGATAAGCATCTAATGGGATTTTCAATAGCACTTAAGCAAAACTCACTGAAATTAGCAGGAGCCTAAATAACTTTGGTTATAAAGCAGAAAGACGTGTTTAGTTAGGATTTTTAAAATTTCATACACTGTACCATAAAGATTAATGCTCTTCAGGGCTACAGACACGTGTCAGTAGTTTCATTCTCTTCCATCTTGTTCTTTAGCCCAATTAACTCATTTAACATTAATTTAGGAACCCCAGCTTTTCAATGAAAGCTTTTAAGATCATTGTGGCAGCTGGCTCACTTTTCTGCATTCATAAGCTGCTGGCTTCCACCCAAGCAAGGCTCCCTATCTTTAGATACCCTGTATGACAGTGAATGCTGCCTCCTTATCCCAGGGGGGCCTAAAGCTGAGAAAGGTTAAGAGCTGCAGCTTAAAGGCTGAGGTGGGTAATTGTTGCTTTGTGCTTTATCCTTTTTCAGTGCTTCATAATCCTCCTTTTTACATTTTTTGAAGTGCTGAGAAACAAAATTTAAAGATGTAAGCCTACATCTACAGCCCCACCCCCATGGAGAGGGGAGAAGACAGGGCTGCGTGCTGAGCACTCCCCAGCCTTCCC